GTTCTTAGAAGCTTCCTGCTGTCTACAGGCTTGCAGTCAGTGTTCAACAGGGGACAGAACAAGGTGTGAGAAATGACCTGGTTTGCAATGAATGCAGTGCCTATCAGTTTGCTGCACACAATATGAAGAAGCAAGGAGAGGAAGATTGAAAAGCTCAGTATTATCAACAGATGCATGCAATCCACATAAGCAGTCCTCCCCACCACCCCCTGACCCTTTGCCTCAGAGTGCTAGCTGTCTACCGGGGTCTGGCAACACTCCCCACCCTTTAAGCAGCGAGCAGGGGGGTGAGGGGGGAAAGCCAGGTAAAGATTTCTTCCCCCTCCCCCTCCAGGCGCACCCCATCTGGGAACTGTGCAGGCCAAGGTGGGGTTTAAACCCCTCCCTAACCATAGTATCCTCCCAGGGCCTGGCCATGTCCCCACCTCAGCTCAGCACTATAAAAGGAAAGGGAGGGTTCATGCTAGCACCCCCCCCACCAGCTTCTAGCCTGAGCCACTGCAGCCATGTACCTGCATTTCCTGAATCAAAAGTGAACATCTATCCACTTGCAAATTGGTTTAATCTCTGCAGGTTAGACTAACCTGCAAAGATTGAATCAATTCAGGTTCATGCTTTTTGAATGTCAGTTCCTAGCCCAGGAGATTGGCAGCTGATTGGCAGATTAGCAGGAGTAGTGCATCATCCCCAAGTGTGAACTCTCCTAGTTCTCCTCCAATCCTTGCTGTCCTCTGGGCTGACCCAGTGGCAAGGTTCTGAGAGACTTGAGATAGGGGCATGCTCTGTGCTAACCCAGAACAATGTGGAGCAAGACAAGGGCATTTCACTGTGGTGACAAGGCTCCCAAGGCTAAGCACAGCAGCCTGCCTCACACCACTCTGCCCTGGATCAGCTGGGTGTTGCAGGTGGGAAGGGAAAGCAAGAAGGCCAGAGACCAGGAGCTGGACTAGGGAAAGCCTACATATGTTTGGTTCCTAGTCCCTCTGGCTTCCCCTTGCCCCCTGGCACACAGCTGAGTGGTGAGAGCAGTACTGACCTACAGTCTCTGAAGCCCACTCCTAGCTACTGGCTTTTAAATCACAACCCCACTGCTTAGCTGGGCAGTAGGATGGCAAGGGGGAGCCAGTAGGAGCTGGGAGCTGGGTCACAGAGACTTTTCTGGAGCCCTGCTCTTCACCACTAGCTTTTAAATCATGGCCCTCCCACTCATCTGAGTGGTGGGGAGGCAAAGAGAAGCCAGCAGCAGTCTGCAAGGTCCCCTGCCTCTTTCCAAAACAAGGGGCTGCCTGGCCTGGGGAGAAGATATGGAGTGGTGGCTGCTGCTCCTCTCACCTCCTGGTTTTTGGAAAGGGGGTGAGCAGCTGTCCTCATGCCTTCTCCAGATGGGGGTGCCCCAGTTTTAGGAAGTCAGGGAGCCTTTCATTCAGCTCCAAACCTCCTGGTCCCCAGGAGGAGTTAAGCCAAGGGAAAGTATATGGTTGTTCAGTCTTCCTGGGGAAGTTCACCTGGGAATGACTTAATCCTGGTTGTTGACAGGTTATTTTTCTCCTGAAGCAGTCATTTTTGCCCAGGTAGAAAGAGCCAGAATGCCTATGCCAGTAGTGCTTAATGTTTTTCCTTGGCAGGCTGGATGGGCAGTGCCTGGTTCATCTGTGTGCTGGATGTGTCCAGTGGCCTGTCCATCAAGCTGTGCGGGGGGGGGGGGGCATCCCTGGGGGG